CCCCAAAACCCCAAAACCCCAAAACCCCAAAACCCCACAGCGAGGTTATATTAAAATAAAATGGGAAATTGATTATCATCCAAAGAAAATAGCACTCCTCGTGTTAGTGCGAGGGGTAAAAGGATTCATTCAAAAACAATTGAAGAAGATCGGACGAGTTCACAAGCTTTAGACTTAACTCCACTCAATTCTATTAATATTACAGACGAAAATGAGAAGATATTGCATGAAACATTCAAAAGTGCTGATTGAAGGAATCAAATAAATGGCTTCGTTATGATGAAATAAACTTGGAAAAGGATCCTTAGGTCAAGTCATCCTTGTCAAGCAGAAGACAACAGGTGTAAAATATGCTATGAAGGCAATCAGAAAACCATTAGCAATAGACGATGATATGAGAGACCAAATAATTGATAAAAGGCACCTTCTACTTCGCCTAAACCATCCCTTTATAGCATCGCTGCAATTCTCTTTCCAATCAAAAGCAAACCTTTTCTTTGTGTTTGATTATTTGGAAGGAGGCACTCTAAAAAGTCTGATACAAAAAGAGGGCAAACTTTCAGAAGAACGAGCAAAATTTATCTTAGCAGAGTTAATACTAGGATTAGAGTATCTACATCAAAATGATGTAGTATGTGCTGATCTTACCTCTCAAAATATCCTTTTTGATAGTAACAAAAATATCAAATTGACTGATTTTAGTTCTACGAGACTTCTTTTTAAGCAGGATGAGTCGGACTACATCACCAGTTCTATCCAATACATGGCTCCTGAGTCTGTTAAGGATGACAATCCTACCTACTGATCAGACTGGTGGACTCTTGGAATAATATTTTATGAAATGATTTTTGGCGACCTTCCTTACTCTTCTTCTGAATTATCAGCTGTACTAAAGCAGATTACAAATGATGAAATAGTTATCCCTAGCAGCTCATGTAGCGATGAGGCAAGAGATTTAATGGGAAAGTTACTCCAAAAAGATCCACAAGAACGTCTTGGGAACGTTGACTCAAGTTACATAATGGGACATTCATTTTTCAAGGATGTAAATTGGTACAAAGTAATGAAGCGGCAGACTAAAACTGACTATCTATCTCCTCCATCAGAGGGCTCGGATATCTACAAGTCAACAGGGCCTTCTAATCCTGAGACAATTCTTATATCAGAAGAAGTGAAGTATTCTCAAGCTTCCAAATTTCAAAACCTGAAGCTCACAGTGGAAGGCTTTAGTTATGATGGGGATAGTGCACTTGCTTGAAGCGATTGATCAAGCAGTCCTAAAAAGTCCTCTCTAGCAAGCGAAAATTAGGTTGAAGATTTTGAACATATTTATTAGTGCATTAATTAATTTTCAATATTTCCAGGCCGAATGGGGTTTTGGGGTTTTGGGGTTTTGGGG